TTTTTTTTTTTTTTTCACCAGAAACGTTTCACCGCTATGTTTATTGAGGAAGTAAATCCCTCTCCAGATCGCAAACTCTTAAAACCTCTAGCATGTTGATAACTTGTTTCCGTCACTACATCATTTTTCGCTAAAACCCGTAGTACAATGATGAAGGCTATCACGTTTTCCCGCCAAAATGACCCTGGTTCAAGCGAGCGCACTACTTAAGGTCTCGGTAAATGAAAATTTTAGTACATTGCTCGATTTTGTTTTTGTTTTTTTTATTTTTGGCATGAGTGGGTCCTAAACTTTATTTTGGCAGAAAAAGAAAACCAGAAAGTGCTTCTTAACCCTTCTAAAATGAGCCTTTTATGAGCTAACCAGCCAAGCCTGGACCTCGCGCTAAATCTTTAGAGCTGATTTTCTCTCACTCTATTTTAGGCGCAAAAATCAAAATTCTCCGACCTCCAGTCGGGACAGGTTTTAAACTATCGCTTTGAAACTTTCAGATATGATGGAAAATGATATAGCTAAGACTCAAAAAGGGTGTGAGGAATTTTCCGATTTCCCTTTGTAACTCATTTTATGTCAGTTTCTTTGCGTAAATCGTGCTCGAGATTCGACTTTTTAGTTTGAAATGCAATAATTCCGCTAATACGAAACATATGCAAATTTCCTCACACCCTTTTTTAGGTCTTTTATCTGTCAATCAGATGCAATAAAAAGGAAGTGAATATTTAACAACGCGAAAGGGCTGGAGCTTCAGCAGTAAACTTGATACCTCTGAGTTCGAGAGCAAAAAACTTAAGCGCCTTTTTAAATTCGATAAAATAAAATCTTTTATAAGGTAATTTAGTCTTTTAGCTTTAATTTGATATATAACTTGCCTTTGTAGCGAAAATAATCGCGCGACTAGAATTTTTTTCTGTGGGCACCTCGTTTTCCTTTACCGAGACCTTAATAGTACTGAGGAAAGCTGGCGGAACTCGTGGTTGTCCTCGTCTTAGAATCTAAAGCTCTAAATACATGAAAACAGGACAATATGATCATGTTTCCAAACCTGTTGTCTGACACTGTTTTCAGTAGAATTCTCGCTTTTAAACCATAAAGCGTACACGACTCGGGCGTAAAGGGTAGCCATCAAACAGACTGGGAAAAATGCTACCAACAGAAACCAAGTTGAACTATACAATCGGTTCATCCATTCTTCGGGACATATGTGAGCACAGGCTTTCTCTTCGTTTACGTTATCACACAGGATCCCCACGATATTGATTACCACTCCAAAGATCCAAGAACAGGGGATTATCACCTGAAATAATATAAGGAAGACGATTGGTTTTGTTTTCTACCCAGATGAGATTTTGAGGCGGGCGATAAGCTGATCATTATAAATTATAAATTATGAGTTACATTCCCCTGAGGGTTGACAAGTTCAGCAAAACCAAACACGAATTTTGTTCAAAGATATATAGTTT